TTCCTGCTCCCAGCAGTGCTTGTGTACCAGAGGCTGGAGTAACAGTTCTCTGAATGTGGCAGTAGCTATCAAATTAGCCACCAGGGTGTATCTATGTGTCCAAACATGAACTAAATATATGGAAACCCACCCATCCATAAACCTCCCAGTGAGAATTTCATTGCTTTGAAAACAGTAGCGTGATCTGGAGGCATGCATGCCTCCACCTTCCCTGCCGTGGCTGAGGGTGAAGGACAGCAGGAAGAGCCTTTTAGCCTCAGGGGTAAAATGAAGGGGAGAATGGGTCAGAATCCCAAACCTTGCATTTTTTGCACAACAGAGAGGTATAAGCAGCACTTAAGATGCAAAGCAGCTCTCAAAAGAATTGGGAAGAGCAATCATTTTCCACACCAGCTTGCACTTTGAAGAATACACTAAGCTGACGAAGGATGCCATCATGTATGTCTGGAAGCACCCTGCCTTTCTGGAAGCACCTGTCTTTCTGTTCTCCACTGGATGAACACCTCCAGGGCACCTTCCCTGTGAGCTCTGCTCTTCTATACTCTGTAGGGCAGCAATAACTTGAAAGCCACAATATGAATACAGTCACACATAGACACACAGAGTATGCACAAATACACAAAGCCAGAAAGGGAAATGCAGAAGTCTGTGTACAAAATATGGTCTTTGTGCAGTCCCTGGAAAATTCTGTAATTCTGTCTAATGTTCTAAGAAGTCATTGATGGCCACTGACATATTGTTAGGGTACATTATCTTACATAACTCCCCTTCAACAACTGTACATTATAAATGTATGAGGACATGAGTATAAATGAATCGGTACAAAACACCTGCACCTGTCTCCTAAAAGCAGATGGAATAGATACAGAATTAATGATAGTTTACCCATCATTAAAAACCTGATGAAATCCTAGAATCCTGATCTTGACTTATGATCACTGTACTGATGTCCTTCTACAGGAAATATAGGCTAATAGCATAAGCAAAGAAAAACAATTCCAGCCATCCTAAAATTGCTCAGACGACTTTAAAGACTGGATTGGGTTGCTTGTAGTCAGAGGCATAGGGAGAAGACAGCATTTAGCTCATTGCTTCAGGCTTACCATTACTCTATGCAGCAATGATGCAGCTTCAGGATGTAAGAGGGGTAGGACATGAGAAATGGAGCTGGACAAGGGGTCAATATTCTCCTCATCCAGCTGGGTTATTAGAGTTAGAAGAGGGCTTGTACTGCTAAAACATTTTTGTGGGACAACCAGATCCCTTATATAATATCAGCCCCAGGCCTGGAAAAACTCCAGAGAAGGCTTCTTGGCTTTCTGGTTATCCCAGACTTGTTGTTTAAAAGAAATTTTTGAAAAGTACTTTGCTGTCTTCAAGTTGTATGATCAGTTTTTCCAAGTTTGAGCTGTTACATTCGGTTAGTTTGGTTTTTTTGTTTTTTTAAAATCAATTGACAAATTATTTAAATGAAAGTAGTTTGCAAACACTCACCCTACCATATCAGCACTCATAATCAAGTGACCAATTAAAAGTAGACATCACTTGGATTGTATTTCAAAAAATGCCCTTTCTGAATTTCTGTTGCTCATTAGCATTATCCCTTACCAGGATATTTGCAAACAGCACACAGAAGATTCCCAGACATACGAGTTACTTCTTGCTCCCAGAAGAAAGGAGTTAAAAAAAAACCCAAGGCAACAAAAGAGGTGATTAGTCAACATCTGTTAGCTGTTGGCAAATCCTGACTTTTTTTTTTTAAGAGCACAGTATTTTGCAGCATTAACAATGTCATTGATCAGATGGAAGTGGCATATTTGAGAACGAGGCAATGCCTATTCATGGTGTATATAATACTTTACCTTTGCTTTTTCTCAGCTAGGAGGCATAAGGAAGATAAAGCTTGCAAGAATGCTCCGCCTCCCACTTACGATTCATGTGTTATTGCCAGCATAGCTTAATTTGTTTTGCCCAGCTCTTTTTGCAAATGTATTTGATAAGGACAAACACAATTACCTGACTTAAATTCATCTTGTTGCCTTTTGTGCGGTTTTTTTCTTCACATAATTCTTCAGAGATTGCTTTGTTCTTCCTCCACCTTCTTGATCTCTTTTCTAAATCATAATGGACTTCTTCAGTCTCACTGCTGTCCGAATACTCCAAGCTGGTTGCCTGTGGATTGAAATTTACATCCAGTTCTCCATGGAAATGTGTTTTTTCCATTCTGGGCATATCAGTTTGAGTTCTGCTTTGTAACCAGAGAAGTTTGCTAGGTCCTTTAGCTTCCTGGGAAGAGTTTACTGAAGATGTTTCCGAATCGGAGAACAGTGTCTCAGTATTGGTGTATAACCCAGAGGAAGGGGAGGTCACTGCCTGGTACTGATCATTGCCATAAACCCATTCAGTACCATACTGGGAATTGTTAAAATAGAAATCATCTGGTAATTGCCGAGGTCTCCGACGCAGCTTGTTCAAGGCCACATTCCAGTCATAGTCATCCTCGCTGTCTGAGCCCATCTCGTCATAGGCAGACACAACGCTGGATTCATTCTCCAAAGCTTTGAACACTTGACTCTTTGGTTTAGCGAGCATTCGAGGACGAGGCAAAGTGACATTCTGCAAAGCTACCCAGTTTCCATCAGTGCTTTGAAAAACAGAAGGCGGATCTATAAAAACGAGACACAAAAAATTGTGATCACAGTGTGAAACGCTCATTTTACCTGTCAGTTTGCGACCAACTGGCCAGAAATTGGAGGGTTCAACAAAACTAATGAACAAACGTTAAGTGTTGCTGCTACATGAATTCTCTCATTTTGTGAGCCATGCTGACATACTCCTTTTAATCAGAAGCCACCACTTAAAGCCATGGTGATGACTATTTAAAATGTGAAAGTACTTAGACCAATGTTTTTTTTCTAAAAGAATTAATAGGAAAGGCTGAGGGAACATCAATACATAGACATACATAAATCCTGTGTTTTGTAAATGTCTTCAATTCTGTGTGCAGTTCTGGTGCCCCATCTCAAAAAGGAAAGATAGAACAGGGATCAGAGTAGAGCAACAAAGATTGCACCAGGTTCTGAACTGGCTTTCGTTCAAGGAATGACAAAGTAAGCCAGAGCTCTGTCATCTGAAGGAGAGAAGACTGAGAGGATACATGCTAAAAGAGATGGGGGAATCTATTCCAGCCTAACTACTAGAGAACATCAAGTGAAAGTAGTGAAATCAAGGTTCAAAACAAATAAAAGAAAGTGGGATGCAATGGGTACCAGGAGCTTCTTGCCTAAGGGTGTTATGGATGCTAAAAATGAATCTGGGATAAAACAGAGATGGCTATGGACATGGAAGAGTAAACATAGTAAACACTAATGTTTACTAAATACCAAAAAATACATCTATCTGAGATAGTCATTAAGCTGAAAATTCTGGAGGTTCAGCGCCTACTCAAAGGCAGCATGAAAAATACTTGCTTTCTCCTAATCTTTCCTAGGCTCTTGCTTATGGTTACTGTTGCTGCTGTTGTTGTATCCTAGACTAAATGAGCTTTTTATTTTACCAAAGCACTGCTGCTCTTGTATTTTTACACTTTTTTAGAGTATGTTTTACAATTCCGACAGGAAAAAAAAGTGCCACAAATACGGTCAAAGAGTACTGTATAACTCAGAGAACTGCAGTTCTTCTAAGTTTAGATTCCATTTCCAATCAAACTGAAAAAGTCCCTTCATGGGAAATGTGAACATCTGATGACTCTACCTCCAACAGCAATTGAATAAATATGTAATTCCATGGATTTACAGTTAATCTCAGCCTACTGAACTAACTTTTCAGCCTTATGGATTCCTTCCATGGGTTCAAATTTTCCATTTCCAGAAAACTGTAGAAATACTTATTATAAACTATTAGCTTTCTAACACTGTAAACAGAACATCACTATTTAAAAATGGACAAAGTAAAACTTGGATTGTGTTGTAAATGATACTCGAGCATCTTGCATTACATGATTACAAATACTTGGAGCTCAGGAAGATGACTTTTTCCCTGGAATTGTTCATAAAGAGCATATACAGTAAGAAGGTGTGCTTAGTTTAAAAAAAAAGTTTGTGGTGCACTACCACCAACAAAACACCCCCACAAAAATGAAACAATAATTAAATAGCAATTAAACTTAGGAAGTATGGAAGATTTAGACCAGTTTTTGTGTTTGTTACTCATTGAGTCCTTTCATCTTGTTTTCACTTCCTAAATTTCATGCCATTTCACAGAACTTGAGCAATAAATCTCTGAAGTTATTTTTACTCCTGCTTAAAAAGAAATCAAAATTCTCACACTTGAGAATCGGTCAAAAATCCTCAGTTAACTGAAGAAAGGACAGGATAGTAGTTGATTACATATTAGAGGATAAGCAAGGTGGAAAGGAAAGCTACTGAGAATTTTATATTCAGAAAGCTGACTTAGCTTTATCCCAGCTTCAAGTAATGTCACATGCTCCCTGACTGATTTTCCAAAACAAAGACACTTACTTGAAAGAATGCACACAATTCTTTGGGCATACGCTACAATTTATCCATGTGAAAATGAAAACAGATTTAAGAAGCCTCATTGTGAAACTACCAGTAAAGGGGAAAAAAATACTAATTCATTATTTGGCTCTTGAGTCAACATTTAAACCAGAGCAAACTGTAATCAAAATGAATTGTGATCTGCTTTTTGGCTACATGACTAAAAAGTCCACTGATGTTACCACTCCAAACTCTTGGTTGAGATTTCTTTTGTTTTCCGTATCCTAATACAGAGCTGCTTAGTACTGCATAGACGAGATCATATTTACACATATTAGCACAATCAGCTATTTACTATAAGTCCAATAGGCAACACATTTTCATAACAATGTGGTTCTTAGATGAAAGAAGCAGAACAAATCCTCTGAGTAGAGCACCTGGAACGAAACTGGGTCAATTTGGCATTCTGTTAACGGTTAAGTAATTCTTATGTACTAAATTGCTCGATGGTTGAATTCAATGGGAATGAAGTGGGTTCTTAAATTTAAGCACCCAATTAACTGCTTTACTGAAAATAGGCCTTCCACTAAAATGCCCAGGAGAACAACCCTTCTAACAGGGGCTGAATGAGCAGTTCACAAAGTAATGCATACTTAGTTAAGTCAGATTTTAGTACTACTTTACTATCACTTTCTTTTTGGGGCGAGGAGGGGTATTGACACTGTCTAATTTTGAGTCACCCAGGTTATCAACTGGCATTACAGATAAACAAATTGTATTGATGGGCAGCCCCCATCCCTGGTCCCCACTACACCCAAACACCGATTTTGTTTGCTTTGCTTGCCAGCACCTGGTGAGCCAGCTGTGGGGGTTACAGCACCAGTAAACTCACCCTACAAAAGAGAAGTTTTCTGCTTGTTTATCTTCCTGAACCAATTTGCCATAGTGGTCAGATGGGCTCTACAGCTGTTATAAGAGAAGAAGCAGGAACAAGCAGACTCTGTCACGGGAGGACAACAGCTGCAGCAATGTTAGCTTTGCTGTTCCTGGTCACCTGGAGCCAGGGGCTGCTGCTGCAGTGAGCAGGTCAGCCCTTCCCCTCGTGCAGCTGCAGGGGTGAAAACTAACTCACTCTTCTGTGCAGCAGTTGCCTGGTGCTACACTCTTGTGGCCTCAAGAACACTACAGCCAGAACAAGAGAGTCAGTGAAAATGGCACACCCCCAACTCCCCGCTAAGAGCAGGAACCACCTTCTTCAATGACAGCCTGTACTTATGGCATCTTGAAGTAAGCAGGGAGTTGCATTCTATCCCAGGGCGCTGATTCAGGAATGGGGCTGACTTAGGAAGCTGCTCACCATCCATCATCCATATTCACTCCCATACCTAATGCACGGATACAGAGGACAGATCTAGCGAAACTGCTGGTCCTGTGATGTTCCTACTCATACAGCTTCCTCAAACTTGTGTGGAAGCAGCAGTTAGTAGGGTTGCGCAGAAGACTGCATTGGTCTTGAAAATAAAGGTGCAAGGAGGAATCCTAAATGTGAATTATTTCACTGTTTGGTTCACCACATAACCTCATGAACAGTTAACTTGTGCAGCAGAAGGGATTCTATGGGCAGCTGCAACTCCTTCAGCTGGAGAACAGATAACCAGGTGACAAAGCAGGGCGCTTGGGCTCTTGTGTCTTAGAAGCTCTGAAATGTATCCAAATTAGGTGCCTAATATTTCCTAACAGTCCAAAATCAATTCCCCAACGGCCCACATTTTGAATCTTTTTCTTGGGTTAAAAAAAAAAAAGAAAAAGGTAAGATAAGCGATGACACAGCCCAATGAAATCATGACACTCAGGATCACCAAACAGACATTTTTACATGTGACCCCTGCAAGCAGAAATTTCCTGGCGAAGGACCCTGCTTTAAGTTATATTTATTCCATGGAGTGAGAACCAAAAAAAGAATCATATTCGTACTAGAAATATTTACTTGTTTCATTTAGCCTGTCCACACTTTTCCAGCTGGGTAATGCAGAGAGCTTGCGTTCTTTATGTTTCCTGAATTGTCCTTTTTGCTGCCTCCAAAGAGCCTCAGTCACAGATGATGCAGGGTCTACTCCTTTACTGGGCATATCTTCACTAGCCAGGGAGAATGCAGACTGAGACCTCTGTGGGAATAAAAATCAAAGAGCATAATTTAAAAATAGAAATACTTAATTATCAAACTCCTTACTGTAATTAGTATGAGTGTTCAGTTACCCACAGAAGTGTGGGATCTTCTATCATACAGTAATGGAATTTAATGTGTTCAAAAGAATTGTTTCAACACTAGATTGCGTATTTATGTACATTTCTGATGCTATGCAAGAAGGCAGAAAGTTGTTTATACTACCACGGACTAGATGGAGAGAAATAATTAAGGTGAAGTTGTTAGGAATGTGCTTGGTGAGGACTGATATCTAACTGCTTTGACTCAAGCTAGGCAGAAGAAGATCCCATTGTGGTGAGACATGATGATCTATTGTTGGCTCAACAGGCCATCTGGTGTAACAATTTGCAGAAGTTAAAAATTAAAAAAAGCAAACAAACAGCCTGTTACCCATAAATAGCTGTGCAACTCAACTGATTTTAATGCAGAATTCTTTTGTTTGCTAGGACATACATACCACACAATATTCTGGGCAGTTTTATGCAGTCTTGCTAATGAAGTCAACGTAGTCTACAACTGCATATCTATTTGCTTCTAGGGGGGTCACATTTCAAGTCAAAATGACGTAAAATACTGTTGTGATTGTTAATAAGCCCTGACTACTACTGAGGGAAAGGCGCTTTCCTTTGGATCTATATAAATAGATCAAACATTTTAGTTTTGACTTAGGTATGGGGGTCAGTTACAGAAATTACATTTAAATTTGGTCAGTTTTAAAAAAACGTGAAAGCTGGCAGTGTCCTGCAGATTTCAAGAGAACTCTTACATCTCAAATCACATATGTAATTCTAGAAACAAGGCTACAGCAGCTTGAGTCAAGTTTTAACATCTGGCTGACACTATTTTGCTGCAATACAATTTTTTAAAAAAAATTAATAACTTTTCTTTTGATGACAACATGTGCTTAGGCAGCTTGAATGGCAAGAGAGATAACTTTTTCTAATGACAATTAGCTTTTTCCCCATAACTTTTTACCACTCAAAACCTTGTCTTGCTCTTCATAACAGAGTTGGTAAAAGACTGCCTGTATTGTGCCAGGGTTTCATTATGAAGTATGCTTTCAAGTGGCTCAGCTTCTTTACACAGGCCAACTTGGCACTCTCAAATCTTTGTACATTTTTATGCATGTTCCAATTACAAATAATTAACTAAGACTGTTAATTCAAAATGGTCAGCCTTTGCCTGCATGAGAGCTCTGCTTTGCTCTGGTGCAGATGAGGAAAAGGATAACTTGATTTAGGAAAAGGATAAGTTGACTTAACCTCCCCTGGCGCAACTTGAAGCCATTTCCTCTTGTCCTAACTAGCGATAGGACAAGAGGAAATGGCTTCAAGTTGCACCAGGGGAGGTTTAGATTGGATATTAGGAAAAATTTCTTCACTGAGAGGGTGGTCAGGCATTGGAACAGGCTGCCCAGGGAGGTGGTGGAGTCGCCATCTCTGGAAGTGTTCAAGAAACGTGTGGATGTGGCGCTTCAGGACATGGTCTAGGGGACATGGTGGCGCTGGATTAATGGTTGGACTTGATGATCTTGAAGGTCCTTTCCAACCTAGTGTTTCTGTGATTTCTGTGATTTCTGTGACTTTCAGCTATTTTCAAGTCCCTTCAATTCCCAGGGCAGCATAAGCATTGCTGGGAGTCCTTTTGGCTTGAAAGCAACACTTACACCACTTTTCTGACTGAAACTCCTCCCATCTGAAATGCTCCTGTGTGGGACTTTTGTACCATGCCAGAAGATTCAATTAACTGCAAATCTTCCTGTATCCTTGGCTCAGCAGCGTGATTTCATAACAGATTCAGTAAAAACAAAGACAACTAAGCACCAGGGTTTCGCTTCTGAACTCTGGAGGAAAACCCAGAATTATTGTCCTAGAATGAAATACTTTCTGTAACTGCAATGACCACATAACTTGGTTAATCCTGTCCATTCAAAGACACAGGTCCTAACATGATCACAGAACCACAGAATAGTTTGGGTTGGAAGGGACCTTTACAGGTCATCTAGTCCAAACCCCCTGCAATGAGCAGGGACATCTTCAACTAGATCAGGTTGCTCAAAGCCCCGTCCAACCTGACCTGGAATGCTTCCCAGGATGGGGCATTTACCACCTCTCTGGGCAACCTGTGCCAGTGTTCCACTACCCTCATTGTGAAAAAGTCCTTTCTTATATCTAGTCTTTTAGTTTAAAACCATTACCCCTTGTCCTACCACAACAGGCCCTGATAAAAAGTCTCTCCCCATCTTTCTTAGAAGCCCCCTTTAAGTATGGAAAGGCTGCAATAAGGTCTCCATTGCAGTGCTTCCTTCCAAATTCAGTGACACAAACTACTAACAATAACCTCACAGGACTGTATAATTTTATTACAGGGAATCTTTCAGATGATTCACAAACCAGCTATATTCAGGTATGTATTTAGGCCGTTTCAAACCTCAAACTAGATATTCAACTGATCAGTATCATCTGAATCCTCCTTAACCCTGTAGAAGGGTTAATAATTTAACACAATACAGACAGGTACATAAATTGTTTTGCTATAGGAATTTGCTCTTTAACTTTGATTTCATCCTGCCAGGATATATGGACAATACAAACAGTTCTGCCACAAATTTGCAGCCTGAACTAGGACAAGTTTTAACTGTGCTGTGGCTCACTTCACTGTAAAGCAATAACTACCAAACTTCCCATTCTTACAATAGATTAGGTCTGGTTCACGTCTGCTACATCATCTGTTATCTTTGTATGAAAGTTGTTATGTACTGAAAGCAGCAAGCTGTTGTGGCTGTCACTATTTTCACAGTACTGAGAACATTCCATCAGGACACATTCTTCTTCCATGTATATGGCAAACACAGAGAGATAAGAGATGCTGAAGAACCCAGAAGGAGGAATATCCTACAGTTTAATCACTAGTATCTATTTTCCCTTATTACTTAAAGAACTGAATCATAAGGAGGAGAAGAAAAAATCAGGAAATCTCAAGTAGTCTGTTAATGATAACCGCGGCTCAGATAATGAAAGTAACATTTTTTTTTCTTACTATGTAAAATCTGTAGGTTTGACAGCTTTTCTGGTGCTTTGTTTTAAACGGCAGCTTCTCGCCTGCCTACTCATCGTTTTATAGAAACATCACAGTAAAGGTTTCATCGCAGTGATGGCAGCATCTGCACTTAGGTCTCAACTAACCCTAAGACCTGCCAGCAGCTTAGCCCTGACAACGCAGAACTTGGCACGGGCTGCCAAACCCACTGAAGGAGCTCAGCGATCCTGCCCTCAGTCCTGTGCTTCCGCAGCAATGCTGCTACCAGCACTGCCTGAGCAATTTAAAGCTAGCTCAGGTGTGTCTACACTATAGGGCAGATAGATCTTTCAGAAGTACTAGAAGATACACAACAGCTTGAGGCATTTAAAAAGGAGAAGACGAGCATGAAGGGCCTGATGGACAAAAAGCACTGAAAAACAAGGAAGCACAGAAAAGGAAGCAGACGCAGTCCCATGTGGTATAGCAGTCTGTGATCTCAAATAAGCTTAGCCAAACAAGCTTATTCTTTTAAATTGTGTGCTGAAACTTTTGGGTCAGGTCAGAGGGAAACTGCTCTCCACAGTTACTGCCAACTCTCTGCAGATAGCAGGAAATTGATATTATGCAGGAACTACTGCTAATTCCCAGGAAAATCCCTCCAAATGCAGCAAAGGAACTAGCTTTTGGTGCCTCCAAAGCTTGGCTTGAGGCCATCCTCATCCTTTTTCTACACTTTGTGTGAATTTTTTGATAAAATCTGTCTTGGACTGCTCTGCTAGCAGTACCACCTCTTCTCACTGAAGATGGTTCAATGTCACAGAATGCTCAAGGAGAGAAAAGTAATGCCAAGCTAAAACAGACTGGCTGCACTCTGCATTCAGATCCTGAGAAAGGACAAAATGATGCTACTGGAAGAAGCTGTTGAACTTGTAGCTCTTCACTACGACTACTGTAGTTTTCTGTAGTTCTTGTACCTGGAGAGGTTTAAATGATCAAGAAGTGCCAGTGTTCTAATAAGCTCCAATTAAGAAGAATAAATAAAAGTAGATCATTAGGTTATTTCTTGTTCTGAAAGTTAGTTTTAGATAGGGATAGAAGGATAGATAGTAGAATTTTGTTTTACTCAGACAAGTATGGGTGGAAAGAAAGTGTAAATATTCATCCCTGATAACAGTTTCCACCACTGGTACCACTGATAATGATGCAAAAAAGGAGCGTCAATAGCCAAGCCTGATGTAGGAATAGGACAGAACCGTATCCTGGCATGAGAACAAATCAGTCTACACTGGCATAAACTGGCCATTTTTTTCAAAGCACAAAAGCAAATGTTTTCCACAAGTTTATCTCCAACCAATTAGTGGCCTGACTGATGACTCTAAAAAGCAAATGACTCACGGCCTCGTTTTGTTGCTTTTGCAATTAAAAGCAAACTAAAAAGTTAGTTATTTGCTGTGAGGTGACACAGCCAAAGCTCTAATGTTGGTTGGCACATTTGCATCAACTTCATCTCAGCTGGCACCACTAACTCAACAGCCCTACAACTATAGCATGGGCTTCAGCATGGGCTACAAACCTATGTACATGCCTGCCCACGCTGCTGACTTCACTGCCACACTTACCTGTGGCAGGCAGCAGAAGTACACATTACTGTACTGCATTTGTGTCTCTCTCTGTCACAGAGATAACAGCCCACCTGTAGATCCACAGGGGACATTTTTCCCTTGTGGACATTTGCACAGGAAGCAAAACACTGAACATAAGGGATCAGGATTGAGAAGCCTACTTGGGGCTGGTGCTCCATGTAGTTTCCCTGTGCACGGATGCAGGGAAGTCCTGGAGGCAAGGCCAGCTACCCCGACAGGCTCTTGGATCGGTTTGTATTGGAACAAGGGATATTTACCAACGAATGGAGGAGTCATGTTCCTGATTCTTTACCAA